TGACCTGGTTTTCTTGACGAGGCGGGAAAAGGGTGACCTGGAAGTGAGAAACTTGACCTTAACTCCTTTGTCATGGTCAGACCACTTCCTCTTGAGGTTTCTGCTCGGGGCTGATTCCTCCCTCTGGAAGGGTGCAGGCCCTATTAAGATGGTCTACCCTCAGAGCAAGACGGGTCCAGATGGATTCCTGAAGGCTCTGGGGGATTTTCCGGCTGATAAAGTTGGCATTCCTGTTGATGACCTGGTCGGTTCGTGGAATAGGGAGATGACCAGGACAATCGACATGATTGCGCCTAAGCATCCTCTCTCACCTAGCAGAGCCCACTCGGCACCATGGTATACGCCTGAGTTGCAGGTGATGAACCAGGCTGGGAGACAATAAGAGCACAGGCGAAGAAAATCTCAGGACGAATCTGACCGAATACACTTACATGCTCATTATCGTGCCTATGCTGTGGTGGTGAGGACGGCGAAGAGGCAGTTCTCCGCTTCCACTGCTTCCTCACAGTGCCATCTGGCAGAGCTTTTCCAAATAGTGTGAGGCCTCACACATGCTGGCCAGGAAAATGACGTGGTCACACCCTCGGCAGCCCGCTGTGATGACTTTGCCCAGAACTTTAATGAAAAAATCGCTCAGATTCGCTGCAATCTGGACTCCACAGTTGATACTGTTCCAGTACGGGAAGTGTCCAGAGCTCCATCTGGTCCATCTTTAATGGATGAGTTTCAGTTATTGCAGTCTGATGATGTGGACAAGGTGCTTGGGATGGAACGTCCTACCATCTGTTCTTCTTGATCCTTGCCCTTCCTGGCTCCTTAAGGAGACCAGTTACAGGATTAGTCCCTGGGTCCAGGAGGTTATTAATGGCTCACTGAGGGAGGGCCAGGTCCCAGCCCCCTTGAAGGAGGTGGTGATCCAGCCTGTCCTGAAGAAGGCATCCCTGGACCCAGAGGTGGCCACCAACTTTGGACTGGTGGCCAATATTCCATTTTTGGGCAAGGTGTTAGAGAGGGTGGTGGTGGGACAACTCCAGGCACTCTTGGATGAGCACTCCCTAGCAACAGTGATACATGCTCTGGTAACTTCCCGCTTGGATTACTGCAACGTGCCCTACGTGGGGTTGCCCTTGAAAACAGTTTGGATACAGCAACTGGTACAGAATAGAGCTGCCAGGCTGCTGACGCGGACCAGCCGTTACTCTCACATAACACCAGTCCTCTACCAGCTCCACTGGCTTCCAGTTGAAGTCCGAGCCCAATTCAAGGTGCTGGTTTTGACCTATAAAGCCCTGAATAGCTTGGGACCAGGATACCTGAAGGAATGTCTCCTTCCTTCCTTATATGCCCTCATGCTCCTTAAGATCTATGGTAACAGCCCTACTCGGGGAACCCTCTCTAAGAGAGGTAAAAAGGTCATCAACTCTGAGTAGGGCCTTCTCTGCTGTGGCGCCCAGACTCTGGAATGTACTCCCCAGAGAGTTAAGCCTGGACCCAAGTTTATACTCTTTTCGGTGCCAGGCCAAAACCTTTTTATTTAAACAGTATTTTAAACTTTAATATTTTTTAAGTTTAGTCACTCTGTTTGCTTTGCCATAGATAAGATGAGACTGACTTCTCTGCCTGAGCTTTGCTTTTCCTTTCACCTCACCTGGAAAGGCAAAAGAATCATATGAGCATTTGTGCTCTCCCTTTCTCTTGTCTTGAGAGAAGGTTCATCTCTCTAAGCCAGGGGTTGGCAACCTTAAACACTCAAAGAGCCATTTGGACCCGTTTCCCACAGAAAAGAGAAACTCCGGGAGCCACAAAACCCTTTTGACATCTAAAATGAAGATAACACTGTATATATCAGTTTTTACCTTTATGCTATGTAAAAAAAAAACTATAGTGTGCTGCATTTATGAAATCAATGAACTGCTACAGAGAAAACAATGTTTTATTTGTGCATGCAACAAAAACATTTTGAACTCTGAAAAAAAGATGCTGGGTTGAAGGTTACTTTCAAATAAAATACTCATTGTCTATTTGAGTCCTCCTCATATTTATGAAATAAAAAGCCAAACTTAAATTATGATTTTTGCTCAGATCAACCTTTTGCATCAGTTCCGAAATGGCTTTTTTTTCTCTCATCTCCATCTGGATATTTTTCAGCAAAGGCTGTGTGTTTATTCTGGAAATGTCTTGCAACATTTGACTTTTTGCTGTTTGCCAATTTCTCACCACATATTAAGCATACTGGTAAACCAGTCTGGTCAGCAGTGAAAGCAAATGAATCTGTCCACGTTCCATTAAACATTCTGTTTTCTTCTGAAACTTTTCTTTTCTTGGATTTATCCATGGTTGGCCTACCGGGGGTCGAAAAGCTCAGTAAATTGCGTGCTGGTGGGTGTCGCACATTGGCAGTTGTGACGCATATTTTGAGTGACAGGGAGCTGCAGCAGAGGGATAAAAGAGCCACATGCAGCTCCAGAGCTGCGGGTTGCTGACCCCTGCTCTAAGCTAAGCATCTTACAATGGACCTTTCTTTTGAACCAAAATAGCCTGGCTGAACATACCAGCAGGTCTACTACATGTAAGTCACGTATGGATTGTTTGTGAGTAAATAAGCCCTATTTATCTTTTGTTGAAAGCCTCACAGTGTGATTTCTAATAGATCTGGGAGCAATCAGCAGCTTCTTAACTAAATTCTCCTAGGTGCATACTTCTGTTCAGTGACTAAAGATGGCTAAATAGACCACAGGTTCCAAACAGGCTGCCCTTTCAGATCTGCCAAACAAACAGTTTCTTGCCAATATTATTTATTTATGAGGTTTATAGCTCACATTTTCCTTTTTAAAAGAAGAATTCAAAGCAGCTTACATCATTCTCCTCCTTCTCCTGCTTTGAGTCTTATCCCCAGAACAACAACAAACAACAACAACCCTGTGAGGTGGGTTGGGCTGAGAGTCATTGGCTCAGAGTCACCCAGTCAGCTCCATGACTGAGCGGGGAGAACCTAGAACCCAGATTGCCTGAGTCACAGTCCCACACTCCTAACCACTTCACCACCCTGGGAAACTCACAGTGAACTGAGAGCGCAGAGAGGCTGATAGGATCTCTGGAGCAATGCTCCAGATACCAACTAGGAGGAAGGAGAGAACCCTGCTAAAAAAAATTGTGTGGTGCACCTGCCATACAAGAGATGCTGACGCATATCCCTACTCAACACCTACTGGTTATGAAACGTATGTATCAATGTATTACATTTTTGTACTACCCAATAATTGAAGCTCTTTGGGCAGTTCACAACAATTGTGAGCATAAAATGCACCACAACAGTTTAAAACTACAGTATAAAATACAAAAAAAAAAAAAAAAACCTATCAGCAATGCAAAGTTTAAAATATATCAGATTTAAATCGAAAACTGAAGGACTAAAAATAAGGTCTTCACCTGGCATCAGATTAGCTGTCCTGAGATGTTATACATAAAAGTTTTAAATAAATAAATATACAATGTAGATACCACTAAGAAGCTCATTCCCTAGCTAGGGTGCCTCAACAGAAATGCCCTTTTCTTCCATGGCCAAGCAGGGACTAGAACCCTGATCACCTGAGTCTAAGACCATCACTCTTAACCACTGCACCACACTGGCTCTCTGGAAATATTTAAATCTGGACTTTCTGATAAAGTTAATTTTACACTTGAAAATATGTTAAACTGCAATTGATATGAAAAATATATGCCACGGCTGTCTAGCTGCCACAGTATCAATGGGGAAAGATGACATCCCTGCCCTAGTACCTTTCCCAAGAAGAAGAAGAAAAATCAGACAAAACTCCATTTGTCATAACTCTAGCTCCAGAAGTTTCACATAAAATTTTAACACATTTCTGAAATTCTGAAGGAAATGTAAAAAGATGGATCTTTCATCCTTTTGCAGCTAATTATGAATATCTGTAGATATGTCCAGGTCTCTCCAATCTTTCTATTGTTCTCTTTCTGCCCACTTTACTGAAGGCAATAGAATAGAATAGAACAATAGAAATTGCCCATTTTCTTTTTCTTCCCAATCAGTTCTCTCTGAGGGCAGATAATAAATTATGGCAGACTGGGCATATGCTTAGGGACAACTTGGAGTGTGGGGTGGCAACTGATCTGCCTCTCCTTGATGTTCCAGTTGCACACCTTGGGTGCCTGTTCCATTCCCACCAGTATCCTCTTTCAAGTACAGAGATCTGTGTGTCTTTTTCCTACCACACAGAAAGGAACTGCAAGGATCAGGACCCTCACAAGGTGTATCTGCCTTCTGAAAGGACCACATTCCTTGTGTTTCCTTCCCCCACCACATGGAATGGAAAAGCAAGGATTGTGCAGTTGTGCTGCATTTCTTCTTTCAGAAAGGCAGTGTGAGCCCCTGCTGCTTCTCCAACCTATGCATTCTGTCCCCACTTCCTCTGCAAGGCCATATCCCATAAGTAAAGGAAAGGTATCATACATAGAATTGACTAGGTGTCTCTGAAATTACTGGAGTGCTGGCAACATTCTAGACTTTGAATGCAAGTGAGCATGCACTGCATAACTTTGTCAGCAAGGACTGCCATATGCTTTTAAGGAACTTCCTTAGCTGTTGAACTGCTGTTATATCACCAACCGTAATAAATAGGAAGTTTCCTCCAATATTTTGGTACCACCTTCTAGAAAGCATGGAGAGAACTCTGACACATCTTTTAAGGCTTAAAAGTGGAACAGAACAGGGAGCCTCTCCTCACTTGCTGTGCATGCCTTCCCTGCCCTTCTTACCCAAGCCCATCATGCAAATGGGAATTTAGTTAGCTTACTCGGAATAGCCATGACCAGTAGATTAACTCCGTCACAACTAGCACTGACAATGTGCATAGATATTTTGTTGGATCATGGCAATTCACCTACATTTTGACCATCTAGAAAGTTATTTTACAAGCCATAAGAGCAAGCTAGCAAGAAAGGAAGGATTAGTTTGCTTCAGTACAAATTTTTGGTACCTTTGGGTCGATAAACATCATGCAGAGTTTCTCCTGACTCATGACCGAAACTCTTTGTTTCCACCTACAGATAAAAACAAGACAGCATATACTGTGTGGGAACAAAATAGCCAATGTTCTATTTATAGTTTGAACTTGGATGTCCATTTGATGAGGGGCATGCCTGTATTTTGAAATCTACCAGATCTTGCATTAAACATTGTCCAGCTCATCTCTTCCTGGACACGAGGACACGGATTATCTCATTTTAAAAGGTTATTTTCTAAGGGTGCGAGGAGCTAAAGCCTTTCTAGAGGTTTCATCTAATTGACAAGATTAGATTTGTTGATAGCTCAAGCTTGTTGTTTTATATGTCTCTTCAAAGTGGAAGGACTTCTATATATGTAGGCTACCTTACCACTTCATCAGATTCTTTGGTACCACACTAATAGTGTACTTCTCTCTCAGTTGTAGTACTGAATTATTAGTAAGGCTATATGTATCTCCAATCCTTTGCCATAGGAAGAAATAGTCCTTGAATATTGTGTCTGGCTTTCAAATTTAGTGTTTACTATTCCTTGGCATCTTTTTTTTTGGGGGGGGGTGCATGCCACTACCTGACATACATAAATAATGTTGCTAAATTTATTTAGCAAAATAAATTTAAGCTCCAGTGCTAAGAACATTTATTAAAAGTATGTCCCATAGAACACATACTTCTGAGCAGACATATGTAGGGTAATGTTGTTAGAAGCAAACAAAAATTCACACTTACCATCCCATTAGTAGCACTGCTCAAAGCCAAAAACAAAGCAACAAGTATGGGAGAAATGCAGGCTGCCATCCTTTTTTCCTGTATGTATTTTTCTTTTTCTTACCACCACCAACCACCCTGTAACTAGGCACTGTGGATATCTGGAAGCTAAAGTGGGAATTCAAACTGACATTGGGGATTTTAGTAACTCATTTGATTTTAGAGTATGTTTAACTTTTAAAGTAATCACTATTCAATGAAAGTTAATAATTAACGTATTCATGTGCTGAAGGAAATACTAGTTTTAGAGGGTTAAAAACAAAAACAGGACATTTAGGCTGCAATCCTATCCATACTTAAGGAGTAAGCTCCATTGAAAACAATGGAACTTACTCCTGAGTATACATGTATAGGACTGCACTGACTGTTGTTAACAGTACGTCCAAGGATATCTATGAACTGGGCTCATTCCAGTTTGGACTGATTAATATTTACTCAAAATTTCTATTCCTCTTCTCCTTTGTCACTGAACTAAATAATCACATGTGTCCTGGCATGTTGCAGACAGGGAAGAATTGCATTCTAAGCTATCCAACATATTTTTTAGATACTCAGGTTGGCAATAATGCTAGGAAAAGTCAAGGGAAGAAGAGGAAGGTAACAATGAGATAGACTTGATTCCATAAAATGGAATCACCTTTGAATTTCCAAAAGTTGAACAGGGACAGGACATTTTGGAAGGTGGAGATTCCTGAGTCACCGTAAGTCAGAGACAACTTGAAAGCACATAATAACAACAGCAACAGACTGTTCCCTGGATTCATGTCAAATGTGAGAGGGCTCTGGCTTTTGTTGCTGCTACTGAGATTACGAAAAGGCAAAAACTGAATTGAATCAATGATTTTCAGTTGACTTTCACAGAGGCTTCTGATTTTCCATTTTGCTGATTTTGGATCTGACAACTTTGTGCAAGCTGATGTCTTTGTGCAATTCTCTACTATGGAAAGGTAACCAGGAATGGGTTAACTCCTGTGCTTTTCTATCAGAAGTGAAATGTTAAAATCTTTTTGACACATGAGAGTTGCAGATATTCTATAGCTTTTTAGACAGTCTCTTATAACTATTTGCATTTTATCCATTTCTGACCCTTTCACACTTAAGAACAGCCATTCTGTATCAGACTAAACAATAGGGAGAAAAAAGTCTCCCTCTCCACTTTCCCCACACCATAGATAAATCTGTACAGCTCTATCATGTCTTCCTTTACTAGGCTTTTTACTAGGATAAATAATCTCAGCTGTTTTACCTTTCATCTTAGGCAAGTTGTTCCAACAGCTGATAGTTTCAGTTGCCCTTCTGTGCACCTTTTCCACCCTTTCTCAGTCTGGTGACCACAACTGTAGGCAGTATTCTAACTGCCATCACACCACAGGTTTGTGTACAGAGGGTATGACATCAGCAATTTTATTTTGAACTTCTCTTCTAATTCTGCCTAACATGGAGTTTGTCTTTTTTTACAGCAGCTGCACACAGGGTTGATGTTTTCATTGAGCTGTCCACCAAATTCCCTTTCTTGGTTAGCCACCACTATCTCAGATACCATCATGTTATACTTGAAATCGGATTTTTTTTTTTTTGTTCCAGTATGCATTATTGAATTGCTTTTGCTATTTTGATGCCCATTTTCCCAGTTTGGAGGGATCCTTTTGCTGCTCCTTATAATCCCTTTCAGTTTTTGCTACCTAAGTAATTTAATATCATCTGCAGACCTGACCACTTTGTTACTCATTTCTAATTCTGGATCCTTTATGAATAAGTTGCAAAGCACTGACCCCACATGTCACTGCTGTTTATGTCCCTCCTCAGGGAAAACTGAACATTTATTCCTAATCTTGTTCTTCTCTTTAACCAGTTTCTGATCCATAAGAGGGCTTCCTCTTTTCTTCTTGACTGCTAAGTGTGCTGAGGTATGTTTGATGAGGGACTTCATTACAAGTCTTTTGTAACTCCAAGTAAACAATGTCCACCACATCATTACTACCCACTTGGTAGCAAAACTCTCAACTCTAAAATGTTAGTGAGACAGGAGTTACCTTTGCTGATTTTTTTTTTCATCAGCAGGGTTTGTCCTTTTATTTGCTTCATCATGCTGTCTTTATAAACACTTTCAACCAATTTACCCAGAGCAGACAGTCAGCAAGCCAGCCTGCAATTTCCCAAATCCCCTTTTAAAAATTGGTGTTACACTGGCCATTCTCCAGATCCCTTGTACAGAAGCTGATCTAGGGAGCCTTGCAATTTGTGGTGGAAAGGCTCTTCAATTAAAAGAAAAAGGAAAAAAAAAGGAAAGTTCCTCAAGCAGTAGGAGGGGACTGAAGAAATCAACATTTGAACAATCAGTAGAGGCTGTGAACTTGGTCATCTCGGGAGACCTTAAAGTGCAAAAGTCAAATAAGCTAGCTAGGTTGAGATGGCCAGCATGGCAACCACTTTCTGACAGAATGAATGCTATCAAGGATGACAAATTGTCCTTCTTTACATTGTGTGATACAGCACTGTTTCTTTTCCTTCACTTAACGTTTTTTGTGCAGTGACTCCAAGCACTGCATGATCTCTTCCATGGATGGGTTTTATCTGGCTGTCTCAGAGGCCGGGTTCATACAACATGGCAAGCAACCTTGCTGTCTTTCTGTAGTACATGGATTTATAAACCAAACTTTTTCGTACCAGTCAGATGCTCAGACCTTACTAGTTAGCCTGGCAGAATAGTATCATTGCTTCCCCTCTGTCTTCCCAGACTTGGCACCCATTCTGGCAGCCCCTTTGAATGAAATCCCCATCCTTTCCCTGTTCTCACAGCCTCCTCCTGATCGCTCCATTGTGCTACCCCCACCCTACCCCCACTCTCCCAAGTGCACCTGCAGCACTTCTCAGCCACTCCAACCCTGACAGAGATTTTTATTAAATGGAAATGAAAGTTTCATTGCCATTTTCCCTTTCTCCCTTCATGTTTTTTGCACTGTCTCTCTGTTTCCAAAGCCATCATCAGTTTGAAGTAGCCTCTTCAGTCTTTCTTAGCAAATTTACTTACGCCTTCAATGCAAGATGAACATGGTGGTATACTGCACAGGTGCTGGAGGGAATGGAAATTAAATGTGTAGGAGAGAGAAATGTGGGCCTGTTCTGGGAGATTTTGCAAGAATGAATAGAGAGCAACACTCTTCAGTGATGAGAAATAGAAACAAAGTGAGCCATAAAGGGTATCCCAGGCCATCTAATCTGACCCCTGGCTCCTGCAGGCTCCTCTAATGTAATACCCAGCAAATGCGTATCCATCTTTCCTTGAACACCCTCACTGATGGGCCCCCCACCATCTCCTGTGAAGTCCATTCCATATTCTAGGGGTTCTAACTGTAAGGAAGTATTTCCTGACATCCAAGCTGAAACCCAATTCCTTGAGCTTTGCCCCATTGGACAGTGTCCTTTCCTCCACTGCAGGGGAGAACAGGTCATGAACCTCTACTGTGTGACACTCCTTCGCATACCTGTAGGTTGCTATAAGATCCTGAGTCTCCTCTTCTCCAGGCTGAAAAGACCCAGCTCTCTCAATCTCATCTCATATAGTATCCCCCAATCCGGCCACTATCCTTGTGACCCTGTGCTGAACTGACCTAGTGATGTTATAAGGTGGAGCCCAGAAATGGACACAGTATTCCAGTTGTGGGTGCACTAGAGTCCTATAGAGCGGTACCAGCGCTTCTCTTGATCTGGAAGCCATGCTTCCGGCTATGCATCCAAGCATGGCATTCACCTTCTTAACCACTGCATCACACTGCTGAGTTGTGTTTAGCCTGCTATTGACAAGTGCCCCTAGATCCCTTTCACAAGTGCTCCTCTCCAGCCACTTGTTACCAATCCTGTCTCTATGGCACCTACTCCCAAGTCCCAATTGAATGCCATCCTGTTGTTCCCTGCCTACTTCCACTGTCTGTCCAGATCCTTTTGGATCTGGAGTGCCTGCTCCCCAGTTGTGGCCACTGCCACATCGAAACCTTGTCATAGAATTCCACAAGATTCATCTGGAAGGACCTTTTTTTTGCAGAAGCCAAGACCCCTTCCCTGTGTAGGGTTTCTAGAGCTTTTGTTATTATGCGCTCTTCCATCATCTTTCCCACAATGGGCATTAGGCAAACTGGCCTGTAATTACCCTTGTCTCCTCTGCTACCTCTTTTGCAGATTGGGACCATTGACACTACCTTCCAATTTTCCAGTACTTGTCCTGTTTTCCACAAGGCCTCAAAAATGAAAGCCAACGGATGTAAAAGTACCCCTGCCAATTCCTGAAGTATACTCCAGTGTAACCCATCAGGACCAGATGCTTTTGTAACATCCAGGGCCCCAAGGAGCTCCTCAATTTCTAGAGGAGTGACTCCAATCTGTGCCCCATAATCCCAACCTCATGTGCTCCCGCCTCGGTAGTCCCCCAACCTGCACTGGGGAGAACACAGAGGCAAAATAATCATTTGACATCTGTGTCTGTTCCATTACATCAGTTGCCAGATCACCTCCCTCTCTTTTAAGTGGCCCCATCAGCTGTCTCCCCTTCCTCTTACTATTTGCATAAGAATAGAAGCCCTTTCTGTTGTTCCTGACATTCGGGACAAGTCTCAGTTCATAATCAGCCTTAGCCTTGTGAAGAATTCTTCTGCCTTTCCCTGGTCCACTTTTGTCCACTTGTCCCAGTGTCCATTTCCTGTGGAGGTCCTTTTTTCTTCCAACCCCTCTTGCCACCTCTCTTCTCATCCATGGTGGTTCCCCCCCCCCCCCCCCAGGCCTCCCCACTTTGCTAATCAGCGGTATTGCTAAGGCTTGTGCCCCCAAGACATCTCTGAACCCCCCTGCCTTCCAGTACTCTCTCCCAGGAGACTTCTCCCAATCTGACCATCAATTGACCAAAGTTGGTCCTCATGAAGTCCCATCTCCTAGTACTTGATCTACTGTTCATCTCTGTTCGCCTGATCTTGAAGCATGGGATGGAGTGGTCACTTGCTTCCAGAGCATCCCTGGTCTGCATATCATCCACCAGATTCTTCCTGTTGGTCAAAATCAAGTCTAGGATGTTCCCCACTGCCATTGCCTCCTGCACCCAC